TGGATATCAATGGGAGGAGGGTGAGACCGCCGGGGAGGGCTGGATATCAATGGGAGGAGGGTGAGACCGCCGGGGAGGGGTGGATATAAATGGGAGGAGGGTGAGACCGCCGGGGAGGGGTGGATATCAATGGGAGGAGGGCGAGACCGCCGGGGAGGGGTGGATATCAATGGGAGGAGGGTGAGATAGCTGGGGAGAGATGGATATCAATGGGAGGAGGGCGAGACCGCCAGGGAGAGGTGGATATCAATGGGAGGAGGGTGAGGCAGGCGGGGAAGGGCAGCTGAGGAGGGTGGGGTGGCTAGGGAGGATGTTTTCAGGTGTAGGGTGGCAGTGATTAAGGAACTGGTGGATGACGGGCGGAAGGAGGGTAGGGTGGCTAGGAAGGAGTGGATCTCAAGATTTGAGGGATCAATGTCAGCGGGAGGAGGGTGAGGCGGCTGGGGAGGGATGGCTGTCAGTGGGGGTGAAGTGGTCTGGAAAGGATTGAGGTTGCTGGAGAGGGATGAATGTCGGCAATGGGTTGGTGAGATGGCCTGGTAGGGTTGTGGGGGGATTAGGTGACTAGGGAGGGTTGCTGCCGGGCATTAGGTGAGGCTGCCAGGGAGGGATAGGTGTCAGTGGTGAGCCATTGATGGATGTGAAGGTGAGGTGGCTGGGGAGTGAAGTAGTTGGTAACGGATGATCCAGGAGGAGGGTTTTTTTGTCCATCACCTCTGAAGTCCCGGCACCTCCATATCGTTCCTCTAAACACTCAGCTTTCCTTCCTCAGGGTCCCGGCAAACATTGATGGAAGACCCCGGAATGGAGAGCCCATCGCTTAGGCGGAGACGGAGCCAACATGAACGGATTGCCCTCCGATTGGAGGAAGCCCTTGCCTACTTCAAGCGTAGTACGTATTCGGCCTTTGGCGGGTGTTGTCCTCGCGCCGCCGGCAATTTCTGAGTCTCTTTTCTGTTTCCTATTTTAGTCACTTCCAGAGTCCCAGCAAAAGGAAACGTTGCTCTGCAGCAGCATCTCACCACGATAGAGGCCGTTGGATTATCCGAAGGGGTTCCAGCCGAAGCCATTGACGTTCTCCTCAAGCTGGCTCTGAGTGGCAACCTTGGTAATTTTTTTTTGGCAAAGTTTTTAGTAAAAAGTTTCGGTAAAACTCATCGTTTAGATAAATACAGTTGAAGTTGCATGAAGTGCTCACTGGCTGAAATGTTGTGTTCAACCACCCTTGGTACTAGGGATGCACCAGTACTGTTTTTTGGGTACTCGCGGGTACCGGTGCCTTGTGCCCAGGTTATCAGGAGGTCAGGCAGCGGATGATGACCCGTCACCCGGCTTCCTGATTGCCTGTGAAGCCGGGGTTCTAGCGAATGAACACCTGCTTCAGAGGCTGCCTGGCTTCCTCACCAATCAAGAAGCCAGGCGGGGAGTCATGAGTTGCCGTCCAGGTTCCTGATTTGTCAGGAAGCTGACGGGGAGTCATGAGGTGCCGTCCAGGTTCCTGATTGGTCAGGAAGCCGGTGGGGAGTCATGAGGTGCTGTCCAGGTTCTTGATTGGTGAGGAAGTTATGAAGGGCCGTCCAGGTTCCTGATTGCTCAGGAAGCCAGGCTGCCTAGCCAATCCGGAAGCCGGGTAGCATGTCATGACCCGGCTTCCTGATCGGCTAGGAAGTAGACTGCACTTATTCCTAGGCAGCCTGGCTTCCTGACCAATCAGGGAGGTGGGTCATTACGCGCCACCCGGCTTCCTGATTAGTAAGGAAGCCAGGCTGCCTAGCAATAGGTGAAGCTGACTTCCTAGCCAATCGGGAAGCTGGGAGGTGTGTCATAACCTGATTGGAAAGGAAGCCGGTTCAATGTTCCCTCGGCAGTGCCGGTCAGAAGGACATCTCCCTCTGACTGGAAGTTCCGATATCGGAGAATACTCGTACTCGCCCAAATACTCGGTGTCGGCACTGATACCGATATTGGTATCGGTGCATCCCTACTTGGAACTTTCCAGTCACTAGCGGTATCCCCTCTCTGCTAGATATTGCTCCCTTAGCGGGCTCACTTGCCCTCCCTGATCATCCCTCACCTGCCACACACTTGTTCTCGCACTGCCAAGACCTGCACTATGCTGCCTGTGTAGCGCTGCAAAGCCTCATCTTGACAATCCCTACTGTCCTGCTTCTCCTGCGCATACTCGCAGTTAGGGATGAGCTCGGTTTGGAACAAACCTGAGTTGCTCCAAACTTGCAAGTGCCCCAATCAGCTGCCAACAGGGGGCAACCCCTGACATGAAGATACATGCAAACAAAGGGGGCGGGATGCTTGTGATGACGTCATTGACCTTATATGGTCACACAGCCATATTGGGTAAATGTCATTGACCAAACCTAGCTGTAAGGTCAGCGATGTTGCTGTATCCTGCCCCCGTGCTTACATGCAGGTGGGGAATTCCTCCTCCATGATGTCCATTGATCTCAGTAGAAAATTTGTTCCCCGCTGGGGCAAGAGGGAGATTTTAAAAGCGGTCCGCTAATGAATAGGAAATCCATTGGGCATGGGACGACTTGTTGTGAAGAGGCTTTGTGGTACCCGGCAGCTTCACAGTGACCATATCTATGGGTTGTGAATAGGTAACTGGGGGGGTTCTTTATGGACGAGGGGCGACATGCATTTTAAGGGGTTATCTTTAAATTGGGCATTCCCCACCTTTACCCTTGTGTTCAGCCATACGTAGGCAGATCCTGCCTCAAGTGCGCTGCTGTTGGGGTTATTTATTGGGTATTTTTAGGGTATTTTACCTACCTGTCTTTTATTTCCACATGTATGTTAGTTTGGAATCCTTGTTGGGTCTTGTGATGTGACATGATGCGTTTGTATTTTACGTGCTTTGTTCATGGATGTAAATGTTATTTCCCAGTGGACAAGGTGAACACGCACATCCTGAAGAGTCTCGTGCCCGCCGCTGACATTTTTGAAAGCACTTTGATTTCCGCCCTGTCTCTGTTTTGTACTGGAAAATCCTCCACACAAACTCAGGTATTTGTAACATTGTATCCCCGTTATTTCTCCCATTCCGTGGTGTCCGCATGAGACAATCGCGTATCACTGATGGTAAATCTGGTAACCTAATAAATGTCAAACCGCTAATGGTAATGCTCACACTTTGCCTGAGCATGTCATTTACATGTTAATGTTAACAAATATACGCCGATCCTGGAAGTGGGGGGATATATTACAATGACACCTGGAAGTGGGGGGGATATATTACAATGATGCCTAGAAGAGGGGGGGAGATATATTGGGCAGGAAGTGAATATTTTGGCCCTGAAGTTGATGTGTTGGCAGCAAAAAAAAAGGACGAGTAAAAGGATTTGAGAGATATTGACAAGGACCAAATTGTGATGGCGAGACGACTGGGTCAGAGCAACTCCAAAACTGCAGCTCTTGTGGGATGTTCCCGGTCTGCAGTGGTCAGGACCGACCAAAAGTGATCCAAGGAAGGAAAACCGTTGACAGTTTCATGGGCGGCCAAGGCTCATTGATGGATGGGGGGAGGGAAGTCTGGCCCGTGTAGTCCGATCCAATAGAAGAGATACTGGAGATCAGATTGCTGACAAAGTGAATGCTGTTTAAGATCACTATTGTTTTGTTTTTTTCTCTTTCCCTGCAGATCCTGTTTCTTCGATGGTTGATCTCTGTGTTTGATCTCGTTTCCCTCAAAGAGGTTTTCTCTCCTCTCTACAATTTCTTTTTCTGTTTGCTGCAAGATGACACGTTGGTATGAATCCATATTGTTTGTGTATGTAACATTTAAAGTAATTGTGGACACTTCAGTACTGTACCAACCAATTGGAATGCAGCCAATAGTATTCTGGAACTCTTATCACAGACGGATCTTATTCTGCATTCCAGAAGGGTGTCGCTTTGCAACCAGCAAATGCTGCTTTTAAAGAGAGGCTCCTGCTGGAAACTGCTGTCAATCAACAAAGCAGGGCTGGGTGGGGGGGATATACACAAATAAGATTCATTGTTGTCCCAGAGTTCAGGTACCCGAATGTATTTTTAGGATTTCACTCCTGAGCTCAGTGTCACTTTAATAAAGTCCAGTACCCTCCTTAGGGATATCTTACCCCTGGAGGTCTCTCATATGTTGTTGTGTTTTTTTTTTTATCTCCTCCTCAGTGTCCATCTTTATGTCATTTGCTGTATCTGCTAACTGACAAAGGACAAGGTAAGTTAGGGTTACACACGTAGAATGTTTAGGTTCCTGCGTTAAAAGGTGTTCAGAATGTGTCCATGAGACTCTTGTTTCCTCTTATTTAACATATAACTAAAGGCAAAAGCATTTTTTCTCATTTTAGATTTGCATACAGTGGCAAGGAGGTTAGAACGTTTCGTCATGTTTTTTTCTTTTATTGGTGTCTGTTCATCAAATGCAGTCTGTGAAACTAGAGAAACAGGGACTCTAACGCTTTTGTAATACTGGATTTTGACCACTTGGTGTCACTGTAGTAATTTCCATTTCTAAAGGTGTTTTACTGTATTTTAACCCCCCCCCCTCCTCCTTCTTCTTCGTCCTGAGCACTGCAGATACAGAAAGTATATGCACACATAAAACAATAACAAATGGGGAAAGGAGAAGTGCCTCAAATAACAATAAAGTGGACAAAAACACATAAAACACTCTGTATTACCTTCACTGGAGGTTTGATCAACTTATGTGTAATCTGAATGCCTATTCTCTTGACAGTTCGTGCCTACAGAGTCCGTGTTCTCCTGGATCTGCAGAGCAGGAAGGTATGATCTGTATTGGTGCTACTTTGTATGCATGGAATGTGCTACGTGTAGTGCATGTTATCACTTACTGTTGCGTTCAATCCTCAGGTGAGTTGCATTCTTGTCTAATGTGCCTCATTTTGTGGGCGATGCCTCTCTGTACCATAAGTGTGCTGCAGTGCAGACAAATAGCGATGCCTGCGCATTTCTTTCTTTTACAACATTTTTATTGGGGCTAGTTAACACCAGGCCCAGTGCGTTCCGGGTCCGATTCGGTGCCTGAACGCACTGGATCGCAGCCCGGCCCGCTCACTGCGTTCTGGGGCGTGGTGGTGCATTGAAGTCAATGGCACACAGTGCGACCACCCACACTGGAACGCGTGGCACATCAATGCCTGAGTTCGGGTCAAAAAAAATAGTGCATGCAGCATTTTTTCTGGCCGCACTGGAACGCAGGCATTGATGTGCCACACGTTCCAATGCGGGCATTGCACTGTGGGGGGGGCGTGGCTGGGGTTCCATTGTATTCAATGCACCGCCACGCCCCAGAACGCAGTGAGTCGGCCGGGATGCGATCCAGTGCGTTCCGGCACCGAATCGGGCCAGAAAGCCCTGGGGCTGGTGTGAACTAGCCCTTAGTTTGAAATACAATGGGTAGGGTACACAATGATCAGGTTGGGATATTATAGTAGAACTGTAAATGCCAGGTCCGTATGGCATACTGACCTGGCCAGCTGGAAGCACTTTTGTAGGTCCGTATGCCATACTTCCTTGGCAGCGAAAGGGTTAATTAAAGGTTAGGCTTGGTCATGGTGCAGAGCCCCGGATTTAATGCACCCAGGGTGCCCCTCAAAAAGTCATCCAAGGCAAAGTGACCGTGTCCCTGCAAAGGGCATCCCCTCACCTCCTTATACCCCTCTCAATTCCTAGCAGCTCTTTTTCCAGCAGTTTTGACACTAAGGTGCACCTTATTGTCCTTGAAAGAATGTTCCTCCTCAGCAGTCAAGGAGGGTTTGTTCTTGGGTTTCGATGCGTCAAATCTTGGTCACGAAAATAAAATCGCCCTTATAGCCCTGACCTCGAGCCCCCAGTGCTTACTAATGGGTTGAGATCAGTACAAAGTCTCCAGCAGCCAGGTCCATATGATTCATCACCGAGGTCTGTGGGTTGGAGGGCTACACTCGGGTGGAAGAGAGGATTTGGTTTTGTTACCTTGGCTGACATGAATTCTTTAATAACAGAACTGTCGTACTCTGAGGTAATGAATACTTGTGTTTTATTCGCAGGGAATGCAGGCACACATCCTTGGTCTTCTCTCCCTGTACAAGGTTTACTGCCCTGAACTGGTCTCTGTCAGTTTACCGAGCAGATATAAGGCAAGTTATGACCGATCCATATTCATATGTCTGGTTTCTGAGGGGGGGGGGGCACACTTGTCTGTTTTTGTACACACGTTTTCTCATTGGAAACGCATCAAAACACAGCGACACATGTTGCAGCATGCGTTTGCATGCAATGCAAAGTGCATTACAGTGCACGTTGGTGCAGGCTTTAATACGTTTCCTTTGATTCAGCAAGAAAATTGACATGTGAAGGCACGTTTTAAAAAGTATAGAGTTCATAATTGTCATGTTTCTGTTAAATTTAGGCTTGCCTAAGGGCCGACTCGGGGCTAAATAAAATAAAGTCCCCTCGCAGGTGAAAAAATAAAATAAAAATAGCATCTCTGAAAGCCTAAAGGCCTACTCAAGGCTAAATAGCTGCATATTTGACCTTTAATCTGAAGCTGTCCCCCACAGTATTGTTTTATTTTTTCAGGCCACAAGATGTCCTCGGGCAACTGGGCATCCTTAAACCTGAAAGACTGAGGACAGACTATGATTGCATGGCCTCCGGTCACCACTGTGCCCTGCATTCACTGTGTAAGGGTGCAGAGAGTGGCGCTGACCTCATGGGCATCGTGAGACTAATACGATGTCAGATTGAAGCTCAGTGCCACAAGTTAATGGTCCAAATACAAATGTATTACATTGTAAGATCAAAGAGAGCTAACGCGTTTCTGGGACCAGAAATCACTCCCTTGATCTTACATTGGAATACATTTTGTATTGAAACTGTTAACTTGTAGAGTAGGGATGCTCCGATAGCGGTTTTTCGGTATCGAGTACCAATGTTTTTTCCCCGGTACTAACCGATACCGGAAGTCCCATTAAGGAAGCCAGGCGGCGTGTAATAACTCGCCATCTGGTTTGCTGATTAGCATGCAAGCCGTCTCCATGCTCCCTCGTCACCAAGTGATGAGGAAGCATAGAGCCGGCTTTCTGTCCATTAGGTAAACGAGGCAACCCGCCCCCCGGCTTCCTGATTGGCCGGGAAGCCGGCTCCCTCATCACCAGGTGACGAGGGAGCATGAGGCCGGCTTTCTGGCCAATCGGAAAGCCGGGGGGCGGGTAATGACTTGCTGTCCAGCCTCCCGACCAGTCCCCGGCTTCCTGATTGGCCATGGAGCCGGCTGCCCGGCCAATCAGGAAGCCAGGCAGCGTGCAATGACTCGCTGCCCGGCTTCCTGATACCAGAAGCTCAGGTATCGGGCTGGGCATTGGAGCATTTGGTCGAGTATGAGTACTCGCCCAAATACTCGGCATATACTAGTGTCGGTGCATCCCTAGTGTGAGGATTTAATCTCGGATCCTTCTGAGTTCTATTACAGACCAAGGAAATTGTGGAAATCCTTGTGGCGTTCAGGAGCCACCCACCCAAAATCTTGAAACCTTGTTCAAACACCACTATTGGATAGAATTATAGATAAAGCAATCCTTGATTTCTGAGTGCTACTTATCCATTCTTTCATGGGTTTCATGACGTAAAGTCGTAAACCCTTTTGATTTGGCTTTAAATGAACCAGAGACGTTATGAAGCAATAATGACATTGCTACATTGTAACTCTTCTTGCCACTGCAGATGCTGTTCGTCATTCTATATAGGAGTAGAAAGAAAGTCTCGGCTGTCAAAATGACAGCTGGTAAATTGCGGCTGGAGGGGGCCTGGCATACTACACACACCCAAAGTATTTAGATAAAGTATAACATGATCATGTCATTTCAAAAGTCTGTTCAGCTTTCACAAGAATTAACTTTTCAACATGCCATGAAGGTTCTTGTTCAGACATTTCCTGTTTAAAGCATGACAACGCTGTGTCCCTGTCTCCCAGTTGTGCTGCTGCATTGTCACCCTGTCGATGGAGACTACAAGTGGCCATTTCATCACACATTACGCAGGCATGGTCCACTGTTGTCACCATCAGGAAACCTACCATGAGAAATGCCATGCAGCCCTCGCTGGAGTGCATGTAGACAGGAAGTGGCTGCAGCACAGAGATACAATGAAGGGAGAAAAGAGGTGAACACAAGTGTTTTTTTTAATGATTGGTGCTTTAGCCAACGATCATTCATAAAGGGGTCTGTACATGTATCCAAAAAATTTCATGTATGATTTTGGCCTGTTGAATGAATAGGGGGTATCCATTGTAATAAATATTTAACTCTTTGCAGAGGTTTTTCCAGAAATCAACATTTCTGTTTGCCAACGAGTGGAAAACTGTTTTGAGGAAAAAAACGGGAGATCCGGACTGTGATCGCAAACTGACGCAGTCTCATAAAAGAGTGAGTTTCCGTTTTATATATTGGTCTGCAAAGCTTTCATGTGTCATTCTGCAAACATATTGGGAGAACACCTCCTTTTATATGCAGTACACGTTCCCAATCACATCGCAGAACAAAACATATTAAAAAATAGCAGCTTTTTTTTTTAGATGCTCTTTCTGCAAACTCCAGGATTGAAAAATCCTGCTTAGTTCTCACTGTCTGAGTGGGCCGGGGGGGATGAGGGAGTGTTGTTTCAAATAATAAACCCTGCTAGTTCCATGCTGGTAGATTTCATTATCACACAGAGGTCGCATGGCTGCTGAATGCCATAAAACTTTATTACTTCATCAACACTTCCGGCAGACACAAACTCTTATTCTGATGTGTTTCGCCCAGAAATAAGGCTTAATCATAGAGATCCATTATGATTGGGCCCTAAATCGGTGCCGGAGTCTGTGTTTGGTCGGCGGTCATGTTAAAAGTAGTAGAAGTAGCAAATATATATAGATATGTGTACACGCGCGCACACACATACACGTCATAGTATATGTAAAAATTTGTGCTGCACCGTTTTTTTGGTATAGAGTACCGATATTTATATTTCGGTACTCACAGATACTGGTGCTTCCAGTAGCATAGAGGCAATCAGGAAGCCGGGCAGCGTGTCATTACCCACCGCCCGGCTTCTTGATTGCCCTGGAAGCCGACTCCATGCTGATTGGCTAGCCCGATGCTGATTGGCTAGCCCGATGCTGATTGGCCAGGAAACCGGCTTCCCAGCCAATCACCATCGAGCCGGCCAAACAGATCTGATAATATGGTGACACAACCTCAACCCTGCAGACACCCCATTCTCCACACACGCGCTTATTCGTCCTCAGCAGCAGTCATTACTGTACCACGAATATCCCTCTGCCAGCAGGGCCACTCTCCAAGCTCTCCCGGATCTGCCCACGTCTCCTGTGTGTGTACAGGGCGTCTAACAGCATCAAGCCGGCACTGCGGGGGCTGTACACACACCGGGGTCAGGCGGCGGTAAAGCGGTTTGGAGAGCGAGAATCGATGTGAGGGTAATGAGGTGTCTGCAGGGTGGAGGTTGTCACCATGTTATCAGATCTGATTGGCTGGGAAGCCGGCTTTGCAGTTAATCAGCATGGAGCCTGCTTACCGGTTCTATGTTCCCTCGCGGCACTGCCAGTCAGAGGAAATCTCCCTCTGACCGCTATCGGAGAATTTGGGCGAGTACAAGTAAAGGTGCCCATACACCTTACGACCATTGCAAGACTTTTGTCTTGCGATGGTCGTAAGCTTATTAAAAGCTCGTACGATCTGCCCATCTTGGACAGGCAGATCGTACTTGCGATCATCGAAAGCCCGCCCCGCATAGCGGGCAAGCTTCCAATCACTGCAAATGGTCAGAGTGCGCATGCGCACATCGGCCTGTTTGGCAGTTGTCGAACAAGCAGGCCACTAATCCGCCGAGAATCGTACGATTCTCGGCGGGTTTTCAAGCCTGCTTGTTCGACGGAAGACGTGCGACCGTACAGTAGAAACGATCGCACTCCTTCTATACACTGTACGATTATCGTACGATCGCGGGATTTCCGTACAGTGTATGGGCACCTTATGACTTGTTGAGAACGAGGTAAAGTCACCTCAATCAGGAATTCATATCTGGTGGTGTATTTCTTCTCACCGTGTAGAAAGCAGAAGATTCCTACCAGATTCTTACCAAAATTTCCCATTCCCTGGCACCTCACCATGATTGGATTGAGCTCTGTCTCTGAGACCTGTAGGAGAGCCGCTCTGAGCTTTGAGCCCCCCACATAGCCAACGATCATAATGTCCAAGAATGATGAGGCGCCATAAGGGCCTGTTCACACGACGTCTGTTTTGTGTGCTGACCGGCTCCGTACGCTGCTGCACTCAAAATGTATCCCTATGTGTTTTATGGGCTCCAGTTCTCACGTGCGCAGTCCGTTCAGCTTACGACAGAAAAAATACTGCATGTCACATTTTGTCAGGTCCGGATACAAAAATGCGTCAAAAACGCACTACGCTGCAGCAAACATACTAACAGCCCCACTCCATACTAACTGGAACGCATCAAAAACGCGGCCAATACGCAGCCAAAGAGGCAATGCATCAGCAGCTCCACGTCTGCTGATCAGGACCTGATCTCATGTGAACAGGCCCTTAAGGGAACATTTTGGTAAGAATCTATTAGGAAATTTCAATTTTCAAGGCGCCTCACCATGTCACCACAATTGGGATCTACATGGCAATAATACAAAACACAAGTGGGTGCAGGGAGTCCATCACAAAGGAAACCACCACATCCAGCTTGCAATGGCTGATGTAAGTATTCAGAGAAGACCAATTCACACACGACATCTGCTGGCATGAGACCAAAACAAAACAAAAAAGGAACGTTGGTGGGTCAAGGCCGTCCTACAGGTTGTGGAGGCGGCGCTCAACCCAATCATGGTGAGACCCCGTTCACATATAGCGACATACCTTTTGCAGCGGCCGGGATAGCGCGACTTTCGGGGCGACGATCCAGCGACGGTAGCGCGACCTTCTCCGTCGGGCTCCATAGAAAAAAAGCAAAATCTGCTGAAAAAAGGGTCCGGTAGAAGCGACTTGCGACCGCGACGCGCGACATGGAGTTAAGACAGCTCCATTGAATACCATTGGCCGGCGACAATTCGCTATATGTGAACGGGGCCTGAAGAGGCTCCTGGGAAGAACGTTCCCATGCTTTCTGTAGTAACTGGACAATCCTGCTTTTGCTGTACTAATTTTTATATCATTGGAATTATTTTTCTTGCAGAAGTGGAACAGAGGCTTTGATGTCCCCGTGTGCAGTGTCGGCGTTCACAAGGATTCTCCTAAAGATTTGGAAGCGTCTTTATTTTTGCCATTGGAAAAAGTGAAGACTTTTGCTGAGCTATTAGAAAATATCCTGAATTGCAATGTGAGGAGCGATCTGAGTGTCTTGACTATATAAGTATATTGCTTTTCAGGACTTCAGAGGTGTGTGTGTGTGTGTGTGTGTTCTCCACACACTATATTGCCAAAAGTATTGGGACTTACATGAACTTTAATGGCATCCCAGTCTCAGTCCGTAGGGTTAAGTATTGGGTTGGCTCCGCCCTTTGCCGCTGTAACAGCTCCGCCTCTTCTGGGAAGGCGTCCACAAGGTTTAGGAGTGTGTCTATGGGAATGTTGAACCATTTGTGAGGTCAGGTACTGATGTTGGGTGAGAATACCTGGCTCATAATTGACCTTTAATTGACCTTTCAATTCATCCCAAAGGACCTGGCTCACAATTGACCATTCAATTCATCCCAAAGGTGTTCAGTAGGGTTGAGGTGAGGTACTGATGTTGGGTGAGAAGACCTGGCTCATCATTGCAGGCCAGTCACGTTCCTCCACCCCAAACTCCCCCATCCATGTCTTTATGGACCTTGCTTTGTGCACTGGTGCGCAGTCATGTTGGAACAGGAAGGGGCCGTCCCCAAACTTCCCACAAAGTTGGGAGCATGAAATTGTCCAAAATGTCTTGGCGTGCTGATGCCTTAAGAGTTCCCTTCACTGGAACTAAGGGGCGGAGCACAACCCCTGAAAAACAACCCTTTAAGATCATTTTAAGTTTGTGTAAAGGGGTGAAATTGTAAATGGGTTTTAAAATGGAACCTTGTTTGTAATTTGGAAATGTTGGCCTTTTGTTTCATTCTAACAACGTTCTTCTCCATAACGTTCCAGCTCCCTGCTCAGATGGGCTGTGTACTGAATCGGCCGTTGCTGCTGAACTACATCAACTGCCTTAAAGAGGACGATGCGTTGCTGAGGCTGAACTACTGGCTGGCATTTACTTTGCATGAAGGTATAATGACCGGAAACCATATCATTACCTGTAATGAATATGATCTGTGTGCCTCAAAATACAATAACATGATATTAAAGTGACACTAAACTCCGGAGATAAATCCTAAAAATACATCCAAGTCCCTTCACTATGAACAACAATGTATCCTATTTGTGTATCACTCGGCTGTAGATCTTCCAATCATCTCTGAATTGGTGCTGACACTGTCCTTCCTTCATGGAGGGTGACTACGTCCGTTCCCCATGATCCCTGTGTGTATTGTAAAGTTGTCACAGCTCCAAGCTCGCTCCCGGGATGGACTACAATCTCATATTTAGTTTACTCATTTGTACTGAGATTATAGTCCATCCCGGGAGCGAGCTTGGAGCGGTGACTACTTCACAACACACATTTAAGGTTCTTAAATGTATTTTTAGGATTTAACTCCTGAGCTTAGTGTCATTTTAAATCCGTGGGTGAAGGTCCTCTTGAAAGTGTTCAACAAATCTTAATTAAAATGTAGTATAGAATATGTCTGCTAGTTGTGAATGCCTGCAATTTCATTGCATGTATTTTAGTAGTGATGCGCCGATACCGGTTTTTCAGTATCGAGTACTGGTACTTTGCTTTCGGGACTCGCCGATACCGAGTTCCTGATACTGGTGCTTCCACTGGCATGGAGCCAGCTTCCCGGGCAATCAGGCACCCGGGCAGCGGGTAATGACATGCTGCATGGCTTCATAATTGCCCGGGATGCCGGCTCCATGTTTGGCCGGCTCCATGTTTGGCCGGCTCAATTCTGATTGGCCGGGAAGCCGGTTTTCTAGCCAATCAGCATGGAGCCAGCCAATCAGGAAGCTAGAAGCGTGTCATTACTTGCCATACGGCTTCCTGACTGCCCAGGAAGCTGGCTCCATTTTCCTCTGCAGCACTGCCAGTACCCTAAGTCCGGTATCGGAGCATTTGGGTGAGTACGGGTACTCGCCCAAATACTCGGTATTAGCAACGATACCAATACTAGTATCGGTATTAGTGCATCCCTACATTTTAGGCATTTAGAAAATGTATTTATTTTTTTTGGTTTTTATTCTAGAATGTGCCTGGTACACTGGGAAAAAGCAGTCTAAAGAAGACGTAGCCTCCTTTCTAGATACTGTTGTGACCGCTCAAGAATTTCTACAGGTTTGCAGGTTTTTTTTGTCCTTTGCATATTCAAAAATGTTATCTGCATCTGATGGGGATGCACCGAAATTTCGTCCGCCATCTTTCGGCCAAAATTGCGGTGCAACCGCGAATTTACTCCACCCTGCTGAGCGCTGCTCTGTGTCCCCTCTGACACAGCGCAGCGTCCAGTGGGGAGGAGAACGCTTTGAGCCGTGATGTCGCAGGAGGCCGAGCTCCCCTCTTGCGCCGCTCCACTCTGACTTCAGTAACAGATCAGGATGGAGAGCGGTGTGAGGGTGGACTCAGCTGTCACAGGAGGCAGAGCCAGTGGGGGAGGAGCCAGCTGTCAAATGAGATGGAGCTCCCCTCCCACACCGCCGGCTCAGCCTCCTTTGACAGCGAGTCAGGATGGAGAGCGGGTACAAGCAGTCAGTGATCTGAGTGTTTGTAAATAATTGAGGACATCGTATGTTTACTGTGTCCCCAATTATGAATGAACAGGAAGTGCTCTACATCACTTCCTGTTCATTCATGATTGTGGAGATATTAAGCATACTATCTCCACAAGCTATGAATGGACAGGAACACTCTTCTCTCTCTCTCTCTCTCTCTCTCTCTCCCCCTCTCTCTCTCTCCCTCTCTCTCTCTCTCTCTGTCCCTCTCTCTCTCTCTCTCTCTGTCCCTCGCTCTCTGTCCCTCGCTCTCTGTCCCTCTCTCTGTCCTGCAGTGCCTCATAGGACTTGTAGATCCACAACAGCTGGAGCGCTGAAGTTCTCTACCCCTGTTCTAACCTCTGTGTCTTTATTCAGGAAGGACTTTCAGGGAGTGAAGAATTCCTTCACAAGTGCCTTCCACATTGGAATGGCTGTCACCGCTCCCAGATATTGTGTCTAATTAGCCAGATTCCTCTTCACGCCTTTTCAGGTAAATGGTGCAAAGATTATTTTATTCCAGGCACTCTTCATTTTCAAGTTTGACTTCTCTGCTCCTGAATTAAGGTCCAGTGTTTTTGACGTGCAGTTGTAATCCAGCTATGGACACTTCAGAATTTTTAAATATTCTTAGCAAGCCATAAATGAGCCTCAGAAACGAGCTGTAGACACTGGAGCAATTCTCAAAATGTTTTTTTTCAGCGGGTCAGCTCCCCCTCCAAGCTGTTCAGCCTAACCTGCTACCTCAGCAGTGACTCAGCAATTCAGATCACCCTTCTCCCCTTCCTAGCAGTAATTTCAGAGCTCAGCTCCTGTGCATGGTGTCATACCCTCCACACTCCTCTCCTGTACATACTGCCCCCTGCCATATCCCCCACACTTCTCTCCTGTACATACTGCCCCCCTGTCATATCCTCCACACTCCTCTCTCCTGTACATACTGCCCCCTGTCATCCCCTCCACACTCCTCTCCTGTACATACTCCCCCCTGTCATCCCCTCCACACTCCTCTCCTGTACATACTCCCCCCTGTCATCCCCTCCACACTCCTCTCCTGTACATACTCCCCCCTGTCATCCCCTCCACACTCCTCTCCTGTACATACTCCCCCCTGTCATCCCCTCCACACTCCTCTCCTGTACATACTCCCCCCTGTCATCCCCTCCACACTCCTCTCCTGTACATACTCCCCCCTGTCATCCCCTCCACACTCCTCTCCTGTACATACTCCCCCCTGTCATCCCCTCCACACTCCTCTCCTGTACATACTCCCCCCTGTCATCCCCTCCACACTCCTCTCCTGTACATACTCCCCCCTGTCATCCCCTCCACACTCCTCTCCTGTACATACTCCCCCCTGTCATCCCCTCCACACTCCTCTCCTGTACATACTCCCCCCTGTCATCCCCTCCACACTCCTCTCCTGTACATACTCCCCCCTGTCATCCCCTCCACACTCCTCTCCTGTACATACTCCCCCCTGTCATCCCCTCCACACTCCTCTCCTGTACATACTCCCCCCTGTCATCCCCTCCACACTCCTCTCCTGTACATACTCCCCCCTGTCATCCCCTCCACACTCCTCTCCTGTACATACTCCCCCCTGTCATCCCCTCCACACTCCTCTCCTGTACATACTCCCCCCTGTCATCCCCTCCACACTCCTCTCCTGTACATACTCCCCCCTGTCATCCCCTCCACACTCCTCTCCTGTACATACTCCCCCCTGTCATCCCCTCCACACTCCTCTCCTGTACATACTCCCCCCTGTCATCCCCTCCACACTCCTCTCCTGTACATACTCCCCCCTGTCATCCCCTCCACACTCCTCTCCTGTACATACTCCCCCCTGTCATCCCCTCCACACTCCTCTCCTGTACATACTCCCCCCTGTCATCCCCTCCACACTCCTCTCCTGTACATACTCCCCCCTGTCATCCCCTCCACACTCCTCTCCTGTACATACTCCCCCCTGTCATCCCCTCCACACTCCTCTCCTGTACATACTCCCCCCTGTCATCCCCTCCACACTCCTCTCCTGTACATACTCCCCCCTGTCATCCCCTCCACACTCCTCTCCTGTACATACTCCCCCCTGTCATCCCCTCCACACTCCTCTCCTGTACATACTCCCCCCTGTCATCCCCTCCACACTCCTCTCCTGTACATACTCCCCCCTGTCATCCCCTCCACACTCCTCTCCTGTACATACTCCCCCCTGTCATCCCCTCCACACTCCTCTCCTGTACATACTCCCCCCTGTCATCCCCTCCACACTCCTCTCCTGTACATACTCCCCCCTGTCATCCCCTCCACACTCCTCTCCTGTACATACTCCCCCCTGTCATCCCCTCCACACTCCTCTCCTGTACATACTCCCCCCTGTCATCCCCTCCACACTCCTCTCCTGTACATACTCCCCCCTGTCATCCCCTCCACACTCCTCTCCTGTACATACTCCCCCCTGTCATCCCCTCCACACTCCTCTCCTGTACATACTCCCCCCTGTCATCCCCTCCACACTCCTCTCCTGTACATACTCCCCCCTGTCATCCCCTCCACACTCCTCTCCTGTACATACTCCCCCCTGTCATCCCCTCCACACTCCTCTCCTGTACATACTCCCCCCTGTCATCCCCTCCACACTCCTCTCCTGTACATACTCCCCCCTGTCATCCCCTCCACACTCCTCTCCTGTACATACTCCCCCCTGTCATCCCCTCCACACTCCTCTCCTGTACATACTCCCCCCTGTCATCCCCTCCACACTCCTCTCCTGTACATACTCCCCCCTGTCATCCCCTCCACACTCCTCTCCTGTACATACTCCCCCCTGTCATCCCCTCCACACTCCTCTCCTGTACATACTCCCCCCTGTCATCCCCTCCACACTCCTCTCCTGTACATACTCCCCCCTGTCATCCCCTCCACACTCCTCTCCTGTACATACTCCCCCCTGTCATCCCCTCCACACTCCTCTCCTGTACATACTCCCCCCTGTCATCCCCTCCACACTCCTCTCCTGTACATACTCCCCCCTGTCATCCCCTCCACACTCCTCTCCTGTACATACTCCCCCCTGTCATCCCCTCCACACTCCTCTCCTGTACATACTCCCCCCTGTCATCCCCTCCACACTCCTCTCCTGTACATACTCCCCCCTGTCATCCCCTCCACACTCCTCTCCTGTACATACTCCCCCCTGTCATCCCCTCCACACTCCTCTCCTGTACATACTCCCCCCTGTCATCCCCTCCACACTCCTCTCCTGTACATACTCCCCCCTGTCATCCCCTCCACACTCCTCTCCTGTACATACTGCCCCCTGTCATACCCTCCACGCTCCTCTCCTGTACATCCTGAGCACTCTTATGCTTGTCGGTTGGTTGTGAGAAGCTGAAGGAATGTCATCTGTTTGTTCATAATTTATGTTCTGTGAATTTGGAATCCTTTTTTTTTTTTTTCCAGAAATTGAAAGCCTTCTGTATGAAACACTGACACAACTCTTCATCCCGTCATCTCTGTGGTTTAAAGTGAGTTTATCATATGAACTTTCTGTGAATAAATTCTTATGAAAGGGAATTGTTAGGTATAGTGTGACACAAGCTTTGTTTTATAGCTGTTCTCCAGGTGACTTCATTGTGGTGATCAGATTTGAACGAGGAAAATGTAAAATGAATGGTTTGGGTATATCACACACAAAAAAAGTTTACAGAGCCGAATTTGTTTTTATTCCAGCTTGATGTGCTGAAGAGTCTGAGGGAACTGCTGCAGAACTGGATGATCAGGCATTCGGTCTACGTGGAAAATGTTGAAAATGAGTAAGATGTCCCAAAGTAAATTCTCTGCATGCCTCCATAGGATTTTATTTTACGAGCTGCTTTATATCTAGATTTTCCAGGACATTGTGCTAATATAACAAGCACGGCATTTGCACCGGTGCTTTAAAATGGGCCTGAAACTTAGAAAGTATTAACAAATATTCCAACTGAAAACAAAGTCCTGTGTCTAGGCACTCCTGTTCTGTAGTCTCATAGCTGTGTATCTGCAGTGTGAGATCTAAGGCACCGCTGCCTCCAACCACCAGCCTCCCCAGATTTATAGCGGGATTTGGGGATATCACAGCTGTGCTGATCACTGTTCTCCTTGCTGGAGGGGAAGTTGTACCCGAGGACCTGCAGTGCAAGGATCTCTCTGCTTCATCCATTCTGTGGATCTGTGCTTCATCCATTCTGTGGATCTGTGCTTCATCCTGCTGCTGCTTCATCGTTACTCCACCATTTATCAGATCACCCGTTCTCAGGGGGATAACTTTGGCATGAGGAACCAAGCCCTGCATTTGAGAAGTTGGTGGTAAGTCTGTGTTGGAGAAAATCGGCTGCAGGTAGACCACCGGCAATACTGGTGACTAGAGAGGAGCCTGGCCTTGGTGTGAACCCCGTTCACCCAAGCCTGCTCAAAACTGTGACTGCCACCCCCTCCTCCCGGTCCAGTCAGTTGCTGTGGGGGGAATTCCCTACCCCCTTGTGACGTATAGCTTTGTGATTGATTGATTGGGTCGGCAAGAGAGGGTTGTAGTCACAGTTTTTTGAATGGGCTCGGGTGAGCTGGGTTTGTACCAAGCCCAGGCTCATCACTACAGTTGAGTAGTTGTCTGGTTGTTATTTTTGGACACAGCTTTCACAGTACAGGTCCTCTTTTCAGCAGTCCATTGTTGTATCCAAGTTTTAGAGAAAGATTTAGGAACTGAAAGCCAAAACAACAAAAGAAGCTTCTTCTAGGGGTAGGCAACCTTGACAATTTAACTGTGTTGAAACTACTAATTCCATCATGCCCCTGCCTCTGGGGGTCATACCTATGGCTGTCAGTCTTGCAATGCCTCATGGGACTTGTAGTTTTAGAACAGCTGGAGTGCTGTGGTTGCCTACCCCATTCCTAGGCTATTGAACAACTGCTATCTATTCACTGAGGAATCGCTCAAGTATTGGACCACACCACACTCAATGACCTGCCTGTATCTTGCCCTAACAAGGCGTCAATTTCCTCAGTTGCCTATCCTGCGACCCAATGTGCAAAAAACGAAACATTTGCTAGTATTTGGTTGGTTTTGCACTCAGACCCGCTTTCACCTTTAACTGGGCGTCCCCCGTCTGCTGCTGAGCCCCGCATCAGGACCTTGTTTTGGGGTGAGCCTTCAGATACCTTGATGCCTAAATTCGCAACATTGCAGATGTCAGAATGGGGGACGTAGTCTCAACCAGGTACAATATAGAGTGGTCTCCCTTTTTAACATAGTTATATTCTGCATGTAGTGTTTTCAGTGCATATACCCTGTTTCCCCTAAAATAAGACCTACCCCAATAATAAGACCTGGTACTATTTTTGGGAATTGCTCAAAGACCTACCCCGAAAATAAGACCTAGTTGTGACCATTCCCAGGGCCGGTGGTGGCATAAGGGGGAACTTGAAGAGCCACGGGAGAGAATCAGCTTTGCCAATGAAGCCGGCGCTGGAGGAAGCGAGGCGGCAGCGGAGGGAGCAGAGCCGCATATGCCGATGCTTCCTCTATAATGCCGGCTCCTGTCACAGGCGGAGTGATACCAAATGCACTCCGCCTGTGATGAATCCATAGTGACAGCGCGCTTCACTCATTCTGGCCAGCGATTGGTTTGCAAATTGCTCTTGGAAAGGTGCGGCACCCGTGATTGCCCTTATCACCCTATTCTTAACTTTGCCATTTTGGATTTTTTCATTTGGATTTGCGTTAACTTTGGATTGTTGTACATTAAAAAAAAAGACCTACCCCGAAAATAAGACCTATTATATTTTTTTTGGCTCAAAAAAACACAAGACTGTCTTATTTTCGGGGAAACACGGTAACGCCCATATAATGGGTTGATAGTCGTCCTCCTGTAGTTACGTTTGTCTTTGTGACACCATCGCAGACCTTTTTACATGTGCTTTTATAACATGAATCACTGACGGGTCACAGGCCCGTTCTAAACTTTAACCTATTTGTCACACAGAAATGATACCATGACGGGCATGATGTCTTCAGTTGAAAATATGATCCAATTTACTGGCCGTTTATGTACTGTGGGCTTGCAGATGCATAACAGTTCTCTCCTCCTCCATTCCGTCCTGGACTTCTATACATTGGTAAGACATGTACATTTACTTCACTGACTGCTTGTTGTAGGTTATACATTTCTTTAATGCCCAGGTGTTGGCAGTGATTTCCGGTGGCTGTAAGGGCCGGTTCACACCATTAAGAGTGCGTTCCAGGGCGTTCAGCCTCTGGAACGCAACCTGGCCGGTTCACTTTGTTTTTGGGTCGGGCAGGCGGTACCATTGACTTCAATGCACCAACACACACCCCCTCCCGCCCCAAAATAAAGTGAGCCGGCCCGGGTTGCGTTTTCAGTGCGTTCCTAAGCCTGATGAAGTGGATCCTGCGAGGCCCTGAAAGCGCTTGCCAATGAGATGCAGCTATTGGCAAAAAATATTTTGCTTTTTCAACTTATGTGTGCTGGTGACTTTTTTCTATTGTCCAGACGCCGAACGCTCTGGAATGCACTCCTTAGGGTGAGGTCAGTGATAATCACTCAGCCTCGTAGTTCGAGCCGACGTGTGAGAATGAAACTGTCACACGTCGGCTCAGTAGATCGGGAAGTGAGCAAACGCATACCGTCGCTCGCTCACTCCTCGATCATATCCCTGCAGAGAACTGTCACTCACGGCTCCTTGCAGGGATTCCCTGCTCCGATCCTCCATCGCTGACTGGCGGAACCGACGGGGAGGGGGCGGGTACAACTTGCTCTGCCTCTAGATAGGTAGAGCCAGCTGTCAATCACGCAGCTGGGTGGATCTCGACAGTAATGTCGGGATCCGTCCCGGCTGCGGAGGTCTCAGTATGCTGTAGCTCGCGGTATACTGAGCTTTGGGTGGCGGGAGGACGCTAGTTCGTGTCCTCCCGTGACCCTTAGGAGAAATATGGGGAGAAACACTTACCCCCATAGTTCTCCTTTAAGCCGCACGATTGCTTCTACACTGCTGGGAATCTGCTAGTACCCCCATGTGATGGCAATAAAGTAAAGATTAAATAAAAGTTTATGAAAACAAACACATCAAAAACTGTCCGCTTATGTATAACAACTACAGTTAAGTCACACATAGCGGGTATTGCCGCACATACGGGAGTGAGCAGCCATCATGCTAAATTGTTGTGTACATAAGAAAAAGTCACATTTTTGGCCGTTTCTAAACATTATTGGTTTATTTATTGCTTTCACGCTTTCTGTTGTACATTCGCACCGACGCATTTTCTATTTTACAGGTTTCTGATTTATATGTTCGTTTTTCATTACCACTAATCGTCCTTCCTCCCGGCGGAGTGTTCTATCCGGCTCTTGTTTGTAAAGACTGCGTGAATCTTAACCAGCTCTGCTACATAATGTGCAGGTAAGGTTTGTGAATTTAAAAATGTTTTAGGTCCTTGTGAGACCACACGTATATGAATGAATGGCAGATGTGAGATGCGCACGCCTTCAGCACCATAGATGTGTGTTCAAAACTGGACTTCAGGAAGACTGATCAATGCAGAAATAAAATCTATACGTGTAAAAAGTTGCTGTACTTAGAGAAGGGACTCAAGAGAAGGGGAGACGTGTTCTCTGGAGTGACCAATCACGCTTCTCTGTCTGGCAATCCAATGGGCGTGTCTGGGTTTGGCGGTTGCCAGGAGAATGGTACTTGCCTGACTGCATTGTGCCAAGTGTAAAGTTTAGGGGGGGGGTTGTTTTTCAGGGGTTGGACTTGGCCCCTTAGTTCCAGTGAAGGGAACTCTTTAAGGCATCAGCATAACAAGACATTTTGGACAATTTCATGCTCCCAACTTTGTGGGAGGAGTTTGGGGACGGCCCCTTCCTGTCCCAACATGACTGCGCACCAGTGCACAAAGCAAGGTCCATAAAGACATGGATGGGGGAGTTTGGGGGGGAGGAACGTGACTGGCCGCACAGAGTCCTGACCTCAACCCCATAGAACACCTTTGGGATGAATTAGAGCGGAGACTGCGAGCCCGGCCTTCTCCTCCAATATCAGTACCTGACCTCACAAATGGTCCAACATTCCCATAGACACACTCCTAAACCTTGTGGACGCCTTCCCAGAAGAGGCGGAGCTGTTATAGCGGCAAAGGGCGGAGCCAACCCAATACTGAACCCTACGGACTAAGACTGGGAGGTCATTAAAGTTCATGTGCGTGTAAAGGCCGACGTCCCAATACTTTTGGTAATATAGTGTGTGTATGTATGTGTGTGTGTGTGTGTGTGTATATATATATATATATAGAGATAGATAGATAGATAGATATACCTACATATAGCTGGATGTCCTACAGGGATCTATTTGACTGCAGCTACAGAGAGGAATTTATCTCAAAACTGGAGCAGCTGCACATGTCAACCAATCGGCTTCTCTCTTTTATTTTCAAATCTTCTCTGAACAGACTGAAGAGAGAAGCTGATTGGTTGCCATGCACATCTGCTCCAGTTTTGATAAATTCCCCCCCACAGTATTTTAGAGGCAGTGAAATCAGAGTAGAACATTTTCAGTCCAGGAGAGGAGGTTGTGCAAGACTGGAAGGCCAGAGGTCAGATCTAGAACTCGGTCTCTGGTTTTCTTTTACAGGGTTATTCACAAAAGGGTTGAAGAGTTTGGAGAAGTGAACAATCTGGGACAATACAGCTGATTTGGAAACATTCTCCAATTCAGCTCACTTCCAGTTCGGCTATTTTGTCCCAGATTGTTCACTTCCCCCAAACTCTTCACCCATTTGTGAATAACCATGTTAGTGCTCAGTGGATTAGCCTGGAAATTGTGAGCACATAGATGACATGACTTTTTGTATTTTATTTTATTCTTTTGTAATTTCACAGGTACAGAGACAATCTCCTGAAAGCAAGAAAAGATGAGAAAGAGAACACTGTAAGAAAAGCTTTGTATGTTTTTATATGAATTTCTTTAATGTACTTCTATTTTTGTACTCGCCGTAAAATCCTTATTCTTGGAATCCATGGAGGAACTTTGGTCTCGCCCCTCCGCATTTATGATCAGGCTCTTACTACCAGCATGTCTCAATTTTGTAGCAAAGCAGTACTAAGTGGGGTTATACCCTAGACCAGGGGTCGGCAACCTTAAACACTAAAAGAGCCGTTTGGACCCGTTTCCCACAGAAAAGAAAACACTGGGAGCCACAAAACCCCTTTTGACATCTAAAATGAAGAGAACACAACATATATTGTTTTTTACCTTTTTATGCTATGTAAAGCATGTATATATGTATGGTACATGAGGGCTCAGTAACGCACTGGACTCTGGGCTTAGTAACACACTGGACACTGGGCTTACCTGAGACCCCGCAGAGCCCACCTGAGAGTGACCCTGCAGAGCACACCATAGATCCTGCACAGACCATCTGTGACTATGGTGTGCTGTGCAGGGCCTCAGGTGGGCTTGCGTCGCCGGGGGTCTCTTTCCCTGTACCGCCACCCAACTCCTCTTAGCTGCTGCTGGGGCCTGACCTCCCCTGTCACCTCTGCCATGCCGTCCCTGGTACAGCTGATATTCATGTAAGAGGCCCCCCAGGCTGCCCAGACCCCTCACATGGGTACCGGCCGTCCCCCTCTAATGGCGGGGGTCCCAGCCCACCCCCTCCCCCCCCACAGCCTCAGGCCCCGGGGGTAGTTCCGCCCCTGGACAGGGAGCCGCAGCAGAGGGAT